TTCAGCACTGCTCCTGGGGCACATGAACAGTCTAGCATGGCTGTTCCCGGGCTTTCCCAGTGAACAGTGATCCATTAAAAACAATCAATAAACACCCATGACGCAGAACAGCTCCTAAAACAGGACTTCCAGTCTGCTCCGCCTTGGATCACGACATCAGCACGAACACGAGGGGTTTGCCGTGACAACCAAACCCCCGCCGGCGATTGCCCTCAACCCAAAGATCCCTTTGGAAAAGCTGCGACTCACCAGCAGAGAACTCCCGGGCAAAAGCCAGCGAGACAAGGCAGAGGGGCAGCCCCACAGTGACAAACTTCAGCAGGCGATCGCTCGGCAGCTCCAGCCGCAGGCCCTTGGCTCGGGAACTGCCGGGATCCGGGAGCAGAGCGTCGGAGAGCATGTACTCGGCAGCCGTGTGCGAGAGGGACATTTTGAAGCGAGGAAGAGGAGACGCTGGCAAGTGCTGCTGGTGCCTGGCAGCTCTGGTGTCACCTGAGGTGCGACCGGCTCAGGAGGGAGCTGGCCGAGCTGAGGAGTCCCTGCCGAGCGTTGAGTCCGATGGCTGCGAAGGACAGCTCAGACAGGGCGTTAAATCGCCCTGTAATTACAGGGGAAGCCTTTTCACAAATAGAAATAGAAAATCCCACCCCAGCAGCGGGCTGGGGAGGCAGAGTTCCTCCTCGACAGCATTCCTCCCCGGCAGGGTTCCCGCCCGGCCTCGACCGCTCCGGCTCCCCGCGGTTTTACGGTTTTACGCTGCTCTCTCATCAGCCGAGGGATTTCTGGCGCCGTGGCCCGAGGGCACGGGGGTGCCTGGCTATTTTCAGTGGGAGGCAGTGGACAGGGCACTCCCCCAGGGAGAAGCCCCAGATACACAGTGGCCCCGTGGGGTACAAAGAATCCTTTCCAGCACCCAAACCAGCTCGAGGGGACCTGCTGCCCCACCTTAAGGTCCTGGCACAGGCCAGGAGTCACCAAACGAGGCAATTTTGAGGCAGATCATCAGCTGCAATTCCCCAGATTGTCAATCCCTCCTCTCGCCTCCCTCTGGAGGCACAGAGGGAGGAATCTGGCTGCGAGAAAAGCTCCCAAGGGCAAGGGATCCCAATAAGAGGATCTAGAAACAAGGGATGGGGTAACTGGAAGGGGCAGTAGGACAGAGCAGTTTCTCCCAGGAGCACAGTCAGTGCCCAGAAATCCATGCTAACACTGCTGGCAGCACAGAGCAGGGCCAGTCCTGGAGCTGCTCAGCCCAGCCAAGCCGAGGAACTCCCCATGCAGTCTCTCAGCATAGTGAAAAAACTCCCCAGCCGCTGCCAAATCGCACTTTCAATGGATTTTCCAATGAAGGGACTTTCCAAATCTGAGCTAAACAGCTCTAAAGGGAAAAGTGATGGCTCCAACCCATGAGGGGCTGCACCCGGGTGTGCTCAAACCTGCCCAGGGACTGAGTCCCACCCAGCCTGAGCACAGAGACACACGACACCTTCCCTCGAGGGAACCGGAGCTTTTATTGCTCGGAGACAAGTCCAAAACATGGATCAGGCAGAGCCCAACGTCCATCCAGCCTCCTTTGTCTAAACTAGAGGCTCTTCAGTGTGCCCAGCTGCTTTCCTGTGCCAGAAGCACACACAGGCACCTGCTCTGAATCCAGCAACACCAGCACAGAGACTGTAGGCTTCACCCCACCACTGGCTCCAAGGTGGGCACAGCCACTGCCACGTCCTGGACATGAGGAGATAACCAGCCCCACTCCTCGTCAGTCCTTAGCAATGTCCAGCTCCAGTTTCCTCAGGGTTCTTTGGAAGAAGGGGGGTGGTTTGCAGACGAGGTCTATGGGCTGGCCCAAGGGCAGGCAGAGCCGGTGGGCATGCAGGTGCAGGGGCAGGTGCCGAGCCTTGCTCTGCTGCAGCTTCAGCCTCCTCAAGGTGAGCACAGGAACCTTCTGCAGCAAGGATGGAAACGTCCTTTCAAAACCCCAGCTCTTCAGCTGGGACATGAAATCCCTGGCCCACAGGGAGCTGGGGGACACAAGGGGTTGGATCCAGTGCAAGATCTGCCCTACCTGGGGCGCCAGCTTGCTCCAATGTGAGTATTTGTGATCCCCCAGGATGGGGCACCCCAAGCCATAGGCCAAGTGAACACGGATCTGGTGCTTCACCCCTGAGGAGAAAACAGAAAGAGGAGAAAAGTGACATCCAGCTGTGCCAGGCCTCACCTCCCACCCACCACCCTCAGTGCTGGACAAGGCTGTGCCGAAATTGCCGGCAGCCAGAGAACAGCTCAGCAGCAAACCATCGCCCCAGCAGGGCTTATTCCCAGAGCCTTGTCCCAGAAAGGATTCAGGTCACGTCTAACGACGAGTTGCCACTTCCCAGTGCTGCTCCTGGCCCCCTCACCGGTGATGGGCTGGAGCTCCAGCAGTGAGCAGGCGGAGGCGCTGGCCAGCCGGCGGTACCGCGTCACCGCGCTCTCGGCGCTCCGGTTCCGGCGGATTTTCACCTCCTTCCCATCCTCCGGACACAGGCGGTAGTTGGGAGCCAGCGTCATCTGAAGGGCAGTGAGAAGGTGAGCCAGGGGAGGCAGGATGGAGTGCCAGGGGTGCCAGGCTGGCATGGGCTCACCTTGTAGTGCGACTGGTGGCTTTGCACCTCCTTCTCCACGATGGGGATCTCCACGATGCCCTCAGCAGGGTCCGGGTCCCCCAGGATGATTGCCCTGGGCAGGGAAAGCACAAGTCTGTGGGGTGTCACTCCTGCAGGAAGGGAGCCCTCCCCTCTGCCCTCTCCCACCATGCAGCCCCATAAAACGCTGCTGCCCCCATATCCTGAGGACTGTCCCCTCACCCCTTCCTCAAACCCTCTTCACAGCCCCTTCTCCACCCAAACCCTTCCTACCAGTAGATCTTCTCCACCTGACGGGTTTTGAAGAGCAGCCGGACCTTGTCCGCTGTCTCCTTGTTCCGTGCCAGCACCATGACACCCGTGGTCTCCTTGTCCAGCCTGTGGCAGAGGTGGAGGGGCTCAGCTCTCATGTTCTCCAGCATCTTGGCCAAAATGGGCAGCACGTCAGCGATGCAGTTCTTGATGCCGGGGCCGCCTGTGTGACCCACAGCAGGGCAGTGAGGGGAGTGGTCACAACCCCACGCACCCTAAACCACCCCCAAGGTATCCTGGGAAGGGGAAGGCTGAGATCTGAGAGTGACCAACCCCAGGAACCCTCCCTGGGAAGAGAAACCCCAGAACAGGGAGGACAGAGACAGAGGATCCTGCAGTGCCAAGGAGCCATTTCCACTCCCCCCTCTCCCTCACCGTGCACGGGGAGCCCGTAGGGTTTGTTGATCACCACGATCTCCTCGTTCTGGTACACAGTTTCCTGCTTGAGGATCTTGGCCAGGACGTTGGGGTGAACCCGCTGCAGCTGCTGGCTCAGCGCGGTGAGTTCCCGGAGCTGCCGCTGCGCTGGATCCTTGGGGATCTGAGGAGAGAACAAGACACTCAGCAGGGGATAAACGGCTCTTGGCTTTCACACAGAGCTCCAGTGGGACCTGTAGCCACTCGCCTTCTGTGTGCACCTGTGTCATGCCCGAGGGACAGGGTGGCATCCAGAGGGACCTGGACGAGCTCGAGCAGTGGCCCATGGGAACCTCATGGGGTTCAACAAACCCAAGTGCTGGTGCTGCTCCTGGGTTGGGGCAACTCCTGGGATTGATCCAGGCTGCGATGAAGGGATGGAGAGCAGCTCTGGGGGGAATGACTTGGGGGTGCTGGTGGGTGAGAGGCTGGACATGCCCTGTCCATGTGCCCTGGGCTGATCCCACAGCGTGGGCAGCAGAGCAGGGGGGGATTCTGCCCCTCTGTCCCTCAGGTGAGACCCCATCTGCAGAGCTGCCTCCAGCCCTGGGTTCCCAGCACAGGGAGGATGTGGAGCTGCTGGAGAGAGTCCAGAGGAGGCCACAGAGATGCTCCAAGGGCTGGAGCCCCTCTGCTCTGGAGCCAGGCTGGGAGAGTTGGAGGTGTTCACCTGGAAAAGGGAAGAGTCCAGGGAGACTTGAGAGCCCCTTCCAGTGCCTAAAGGGGCTCCAGGAGAGCTGAAGAGGGACTTGGGACAAGGGCCTGGAGGGACAGGACAAGGGGGAATGGCTTCCCACTGCCAGAGAGCAGCGTTAGATGGGATATTGGTAAGGAATTCCTGGCTGTGAGGGTGGTGAGGCCCTGGCCCAGGTTGCCCAGAGAAGCTGTGGCTGCCCCATCCCTGCAAGTGTCCAAGGCCAGGTTAGACAGGCTTGAAACAACCGGGTCTAGCGGAAGGTGTCCCTGCCCACGGCAGGCGGTAGGATGAGATGGGCTTTAAGGTCCTTTCCCCCGCTCCATCCCGGGATGCACCACCCGAGCCCGCTCCCGGGACGGCCCGCGCGGGGCACGCCGGGAGTTGTAGTCCAGTCCCTAAGGCCGAGCTGGCCGCTCTCCCCTCACCTCTCGCCGCTGCCCCGCGCTGCTCCTCAGCCGCTCCGCCAGCTCCTCCGCTCGCAGCCCTTCGGCCTCCCGTACGCTCTCGCTGAGGCCACGCACCGCCCGGGCCAGCCCCGCACCGCCCCGCCGCCAACAAAGCCGCGCCGTGCCGCCCGCCGCCGCCATCTTCCTGCCCCCTTCCCCGCGTGCTCCCGCCGACCAATGGCGGCGGCGCGGGGGCGGAGCCTTGGAGGGCCTGTCCAATGGGGAGGGGCAATGAGCTGAGTGACAGCCGCGCCGCCCAATGGCAGCCGGGCGGGGGTGTTTAAACGGCGACAGCGGTTGCGGCCCGTAACGGAGCGGCGGGAGCGGCGCAAGAGGCGCGGCTGGGCCGGAGGTACCGGGGGCGACAGGGGTGGGGGGCCAGCCCAGTGTAACCTAAAATAGCCCAGTGTAACCTCAGCAAGCCTCCCTTTGCTGCCCCGCTGCGAGTTGACGGTGCTGCGCCTCGCTCCTTCCCTCCCCTCCCAGGGTAGGACACAGCACTGCTACAAGAGATTTCTTGAGATTTATAAAAAAACAGCACCGAAGAAACGCGCTTTTTTTCCCAATAACAGTAATAAAAAGAAGTGCCGAGGCGCCCCGTCACTCGGTGTCCACGCAGACCCTCTTGGGCGGCTGCTCGGGGGCTGCGCTGCTGCCCCGCTTGCCCTCGGGGGGCTCCTGGTCCCCGGGCACCCCCGGCCCCCGGGGGGGGTCGATGCGGCCCCTCCGCACAAAGTGCTCGATCCGAGCCTCCAGCCCCTCGCACCGGGGCCGGGCCAGCAAGGGCTTGTAGGTGCGGGCTTGGACCCCCTCCACGAAGCTGCTGACCAGGCTGCTCCCCGGACCTGTGACATCACAGAAGAAATACGTTTAATTACCCCGTTCTTTCTTTCTTTTTTTTTTAACCAGTTACCCCTTGTTAATTTTTAAATCAGTTACCCCTCTAGTTCATAGAATTATATACGTAGCCTTAAGCTGCGTCAGGGAAGGTTTAGGCCGGACTTTATGAAGAATTTCTTCACAGAAAGGGTGATTAGACGTTGTAATGGACTGCCCAGGGAGATGGTGGAACAACTGGCCCTGGAGATACTCAAGGAAAGACTGGATGTGGAACTCAGTGCCGTGGTCTAGTTGACATGGTGGTGATCGGTCACAGGTTGGACTTGATTTCAGGTCTTTTCCAACCTAATTGATTCTGTGAATCCCAGAATGGTTTGGGTTGGAAGGAACCTTAAAGACCATCTTGTTCTACCCCCTGCCATGGGCAGGGACACCTTCCACTAGCCCAGGTTGCTCCGAGCCCTGTCCAACCTGGCCTTGGACACTTGCAGGGATGGGGCAGCCACAGCTTCTCTGGGCAACCTGTGCCAAGGCCTCCCCACCCTCACAGGGAAGGATTTCTTCCCAATATCCAATCTAACCCTGCTCGCTGGCAGTGTGAATTCCAAGGTGTTCCCCCAAACTCCCCCCTTACCTTTGCCAGTGGCCATGGGAACAGCTTCCAGCCCTGCCAACATGTCCCGAAGCACGTGGGTTTTGACGGCGTGGCTGGCCCAGAGCTGCTGCAGGTGTGTCACGTTGAAGCCTTGCACCTCTGGGTCGTAGAGCCACTGCAGGTCTGGGAACTCGCAGTCATACAGGACCAGGGGGAACTCGACTGCCATGCTGGGGACAAGGACAGGAGGTGGGCCCACAAAAAGGCTCAAGAACAGTCAGCCCTGCCCTTCACAGAACTCCCTTTCCCAATAAAAGCTGACTTAATTTTTACCAAATACCAAGGAGTAAAGCCATTAAGGCTTTGTCTGAGAGCAAGAAAACAGAGGTCCTTATGGACACATCCCAGGCTGGCAGCCTACTTCCATGCTGTGAGACTGCTCCATGTGCTGGCAGGGATGTGGCTTGCCAGCAGCACTCCAGGTGCAGCCATCGCTCCGGCCGGTTTCCCAGCACAATCCCTACCTGTACTGCGGTTTCCGAGGGTTTTTCTCCACATCCAGCAGTTCGTCGATGATGTCCGGGCTCTCCATGCCCTGGCCGATGAGGAAGAGCACGGCCATCATGCAGCGGACCTGGTGGTACAGGAACGCCTGCCCCGTCACCTCGAACTGGCACAGCCGGAAGGGATCCCGCGGCCCGGATTCTCCCCCTCTCTCCACCCACGTCACGCGGGCGCTGAGGATCGTCCTCTGGAAGTTGAGCACCCCGTTGGCCACGTCCATCTTGCAGAGGTTGCGGAAGTCGTGGGTGCCCACGTAGCGCTGGGCCGCGCTGTCCATGAGGGCCACGTCCAGCTGGGCGCAGGGGAAGAAGTACCGGTAGGTGCGGCGCTGGCAGCTGAAGCGGGCACTGAACTCCGGCGCCACGGGGGCCCAGGCCAGCACCCGGATGTCGGGGGGCAGCACCCTGTTCAGGATGTGGGTGTAGCGGAGCTCCTCCCGCTGCCCCTCACCCGCGTGCCCGTTCTGCTGCTGCCCCTCCGGTGGCAGGCTGGAGCGGAGATCCAGGGAAATCACCTGCAGAGACCAGTAAAAGGCAGGATTAGAGCGCGGATGGATGGCGTGTGGAGCCAAGTCTTCCTACACCTCTGGGAAATAAACCCAGGATCTCCTACGGATGAAGGTGGCTTCAGTCGGGTGATCCTACCATGGAGCTGCGAGTGCCTCTGCTGAGGAGCCGAGCAGATGCCACAGATTCCATTAATAAAACAGGGAAAGTTGCAGGCTGCCTACGTAGCACGGTCTCGGAACAGCTTCAACTTTAGTCGCTGGGTTTGGGTTATAATGTGCTTTTTTTTTTTTTTTTGAGCTGGAGGTGATGACTTGAAGGCAGTAACAGCCTGGCTCGCTTGGAAACCTGGTATGGGAACAAGTTCATTCCCAGCGCGGGCGCCATGTGCTGAAACAGCACAAGAGGAGGCACCAAGTGCCCTGATTTCGTGCGGCTCATCCTGCCATGGGGAGCAGAGCAGCCACTCGAGGCCAAACCTATGCCAGCTCTGCTTCCTGCACCAGGAGGGAAGGAAGGAGAGCGGCCCAATGGTGAAGCCACCACGGTTGTGTTCTCCCCAATGGCTCAGCCAGCCGGGTGGCTCCGTGCCCACCGAGCAGGCCAGCTCCATCCCCTCCCTCCAGCTCCCACTCCCACGCTCCCTTCCGCTGGCTGCAGCTCCTCTCAAGACCCTTCTGTGCAGAAATTCAGCTGCCTGATGCTGCAGGAAGGGAGCCAATTTCTGGGTATTTTGGATTTTGGTGGGATTGGAGAGTTAAATCAGCTGAGAGGGCCCTGCCAAAGACAGGGCATCGCCCCTTTTTGGGCAGCACTGAGCTACTGGAGAAGCTGCAGCCTAAACCATGTTTTATCCTCCTAAAGCAGGGCCCCGGAAAAGAACTTGAACTAATATGGGGGACAAAATAGCACTGAAACGCTTCAGGGGTCTGAAATAGTCTTTCCACATGCAGGAAAGCCATTGCCAGGCTCACTTCCAGGGGTAAGAGCTGATGGCTTTTAAAGAACAAATCCAAGCTGTGCTGTGGGACAGCAATCCCACTGGATCTCCATCCCACCCGGGAAAACCCACACGAGATGCTGACCTGCCCAAAGGCACTGACTCCCTTGTCCGTGCGCCCGCAGCGGTGGTAGTTGGAGGTCTCTCTGCTGTCCACCAGCCGTGTCTTCTTCAAGGCTTCAAAGAGCTTCTCCTCGATGGTGTTGGGGGTGTTCTCCTGGCTGGCAAAGCCCTGGTAGCCCCAGCCCAGGTAGGCGATGCGCAGTGCCACGTGTCTGCGGCCGTGCGCGCTGAAATCGAACGGCCTTTGTTGGCGTTTTTTGGCTTTCCCGGGGGCCAGAGCAGCCTCTCTCCTCCCAGTGCCCTCCTTGTCATCCTGGAGCTTCTCCTGCAGCCGCTTCACCTCCGCTTCCAGCTCCTGCACCCTCCTCAGGAGCCCCTCGTGGTCAGCAGCCGTGCTCTCCTCGGCCATAGCCACTGCCCTGGAGCATCAGTTTGTTGCCGGTGGATCCTCGGGGTCTGCAGGGAAAGAAAAAAATGGCAGATTTACATTTTTATGTGGTTTTTATTGCACCTCTAGGCTGGCTCTGCAAAATAACCTTTATCCACGGAGTCAGTTTTTATCATCTGAGCCCCACCGTGTTCCCAGCAGAGCACGGGCAGGGCCACGGGGGCTCAGCTCGGGCAGCCTTCATCTCACTCCAGTCTCTTTTTTTGGAGTCTTTAATCACTCCTCTTCCCCCAGCCGATGGGATCTGCTCCGTCAGCGCAGCACGTTCCCGGCCAGCCCGTCACGGAGCCTTCTCACTTTCACACCTGCATCCCGCTGCAGACAGCGCGCTGACGGCTGCCACTCATCCCGCCCCGCCATCTGCTCCCGCCCTTCCCAGCGCCACCAGGGGCTCCTGCAGCTCTTCCAACCCGCCTAAAGATATCCTAAGCCTGTGCTGGGAGTGGGATCTGTGTCCGGATCCCTTTTAGTCACAGGGCTAGAGGTTTACTCGAGGTTTACTATCACCAGACTCATAAGCGAGCATCTAAACATGCTGTGCTGAGCCTCTTCCTCCTCTGCAGAAGTAGAACACCCTCTCTGATGTCCCTGGATTAAATCATGACTAAATAGTGTGGATTTAGAAGCACAGGTAGAAGGGGAAAACCATTAATCTCTCACTCAGTGCACGGAACTTGCCCTGTGTTTGTCAAGCAGGACTTAACTGACCACATAACTAATTCTAGTGGAGTTTTCCAGCAGGAATTAAGGGCTTGTGTTTCTGTTACTGTAGGGAAGAGCCTTCTGCTGGTGGCAGGAGGTTCAGCAGTGCTCTGAGAACATGCCCAACCTAAATCAACACCCCTGAACCCAAACATTTGAGTCTCGGAGCCCCCTTTGACACCTTTAGCCAGCTTGAACATGCTGCAAGACATTAACCCTGGTTTCTTTTTGTGCAGAACCCACCCGGTTTGGTGGGAATCATGGAGGGGACATCGGGTGCCTGGCCGGGAGGCAGCGAGGAGCTGGCGCGTCCCCGTGATGACCCCTACGCCGATGCCTCCATCGTTTGTGGGGCACAGTCAGACCTTCCAGCGCTTTCTGAGGATCACAGGGAAAAAAGGAAGTTGGTGATGAAGAGGAAGGTGCTGAGGCACAGACCCGATGGAATGGTGGAGATCTTCGATGAGTCGGTGAACAACGAGCCGGGGTGCAGTGCCGAGCCCGAGTGCAGCGCTGAGCTGTGGGATACGGGGTGTTCCAGGGTTTTTATGGAGGACACCATCTCTGAGGGGGAAATCAGCGACGAGCTGGAGGAGTACGTGCCCTGTGATGAGGAGTGGTTCCTTGAGGACAGCCCCTGCTCTCTCCTTGAGGATCTTGGGAGACGGAGCACGTCTCGGCCCTCCGCTCGGGTGGGATCGCCTACGTCCTACATTCTTCCGCATGTTGGCAGACGGAGGAGAACCGACCCAGTGGCCAAATTCCACGGGTACAGACAAGACTGGGAGAGATACAGCATCCCGGGGGAAGATCCACACGATGATCTGCGCTGGGCCATGCGGAGGCAGATGGCCCAGCCGGGAGAGCCACGCCGGGCACCGAAGCGCCTCGTGCCCAACACGTACGTGGTGCCCACGACCAAGCAGCGCGATGCCCTGCGCTTCGGCGTGCGCCGGGACCTGGCCCAGTGCCTCATGCCCCGCAAGGACGCCTCCTAGAGCCACAGCCCCTGCTCCAGCACCACCGCTTTCCCCTCCTCAACATCCTCCACCACCTGGAAAATCCCCTCGCCGCGTTCCAGGTTTGCTGTGGAGGAGGTTTGATTTGCGATGTCTCGGCAGCGTCTTTTCCTTTAATAAAGCATCTGCAAACACTCCTTATCGTTCTGTGGGTTTGTTAGAAATGCCACAGGCAGCATCCGTTATTCCAGACTTATCCCTGCTCCACCAAACTCTGCTCCCTTGGCCGTATTTTACCTCATTTTTAAAATAAGGGAGCTTAGTAAGGTAGTATTAGTGTTATTACTATTAGCGTGCAGGACTTTCACTGCTGCGACCACGGGTTCGAGTCCCCGGTCTCCTGGCCTGATGGAGGTCGTTAGCCCTGTGTGGCCATCCATCTATGAGAAGGACACTCTAAACAAACCTACGTCCTGAGGACCTCACTGCCATTGTCCAAGCTTGCTTGGCCCCGGCAGATGAACCTTAGGATTAAAGGGTGGGCTCAGTTCAGCGCAGGCTGTGTCTCACCTAAAAAATCCATTGCGCAGGCTGGAAAGGTAAAAAGACCTTTCCCCAAAATCTTCATTCGCGAAGATGGGCCATTATTATTATTAGTGTTAATTTTTTTCCCAGGTATAGGGATGGACTGAAAACATGGCAGTTCTGGCGCAGGAAAAAGTCCCCAAAAGCTGAGTGGGATGGCTGGAAAAGGGAGCAGGGAGGACAGGACACAGGTGACAGCTGCAGCCTGGAGCTCTGTATCCAGCTCCCACCAACCCTCCTCTGGATGTGACCCCAGATGGAAAACACACAGGCCTGTGCGGTTACCCCACACTGGGGGTGTTCTGGCACCCCAGGGACCTTCCAGGGTTGGGGTCCCTGGCTCTCCAGCACCCTGCGGACCCCCATCCACCTATGAAGGGAGTTTTGTCTCCCAGAACCTTAGAGACTCCCACCCAAACCCTATGGGGGACAGCACCCCCACCCTACAGGGTCCCTGCTCCTTCAGCACCCCAAGGACCCCCCATAAAACCCTATGGGGTCTCTGTCTGCAGCAGGGGATACTCCCTGCTCCATGGTTCCTGTGCCCAAAACCCTAAGGGGTCCCTGCATCTCCATCACCTTGGGGATACCCCTCCCCTTCTAGTGTCCCTGTCTCCAGCACCCCAGAGACCCCCCAAAACTCTATGGGATCACTCCATCTCCATCACCCTGGGGCACCCCTCACCTCTTGACCATAGGGTCATAGGCTACTGACCCCCACCCTATGGGGAGACTCCCTGTCCTCCAACACCCCCAAAACCTATGGGGTCTCTGCATCTCTATCTACTTGGGAACAGCCCTCCCCCCTTGGTGTCCCTGTTCCCAGCATTCGGGGGGGGGGAGTGTGTGTTCCTGTCCCCAACACCTCAGGGACCCCCCAAAAACCTATGGGGTCCCTGTCTGCAGCAGAGGACCTTCCCTGCACCACCATCCATGTTCCCAACTCTTCAGGGACTCCCATTATCCTATGGGACAGGCTCTGTCCACAGGGACCCCCCAAAACAAAATGGGGACCAGGGTTGGCACCCTATGGGGTCCCTATCTGCAAGAGGGGACTCTTCCTGTCCTATGATGTCGCTGTCCCCAACTCCCCAAGGACCACCCTATAGCAAGGGGGTCCCTATTCCCCAGCACTGAAGGGACCCCTCAAAAACCTATCGGGTCCCTGCCTGCAGCACCAAACCCTCCCTGCCCGCAACTCTCCAGGGACTCCCCACCCTATAACAGGGGGTCTCTGTCCCCCACCACTCCAGGCATCCTCCCAAAACTCTACGGGGTGCCTGTGTGCAACAGAGGACCCTCCCCGCCCTATGAAGTCATTCTCACCAACTCCCCAGGAATCCCCACCCTATCGTGGGTCCCTATCCCCCACCACTGCAGGGACACCCCCAAAAAACCCATCAGGTCCCTGCCCTACAGGGCCCCTGCCCACAACTCTCCAGGGATCCGCCACCTTATAGTGAGGGGTCTCTGTCCCCCAGCACTTCAGGCATCCACCCAAAACTCTGTGGGGTCCCTGTCTGCAGCAGGGAACCTTCCCTGCTCCACAACCCCTGTCCCCAGCTCCCCAGGGACCTTCCACGGTATAGTGGGGGGGTCTCTGTCCCCCAGCACTGCAGATATCCCTCCAAAACTCCCAACAGGGGACCCTCCCCGCCCTGTGAGGTCGCTGTCCCCAACTCCCCAGGGACCCCCACCCTAGGTGGGGGTCTGTGCTCCCCCGTCCCCCCCAGTCCCGCCGTTCCCCGTCCCCGTCCCTCGTGCCGCACCCGTGCCCCCTCCCCGTGCCGTCCCCCTACCCCGTACCCCGCACCGTCCCCGCACCGTCCCCGCACCGTCCCCGTACCGTCCCCGTGCCGTACCCGTACCCCGTACCCCGCACCGTCCCCGCACCGTCCCCGTGCCGTACCCGTGCCGTACCCGTTGCCCGTCCCCGGTGCCGTACCCGTTCCCCGTCCCCGGTGTCGTGCCCGCTGCCGCCGGTGCCGGATGTTCCCGCCCCGTCCGGCGCCGCGGGCGCTGTGAGGCGGCTCCATGGCGGAGGCGGGGCGCGGGTTCGGCCCGGCGGGCCCCGGGCCCGGCCTGCCCTGCCCCTGGCCCACGGCCCCGCTGCGCCGCCCGCCCTCCCGCTTCGCCGGGCTCGCCTGCCCTCAGCTGCACGGCCGGGGCCCGGCCCGCGGGCTCGGCCCCTTCCCCGCGCCCCCCGCGCCGCCGGCGCTCGAGGCCGAGGCGGAGGACGAGGAAAGAGGTGGGTCCCGGAGCCCCCCCCCCCGCCCGGGGCTGCAGGGGAGAGGGTTCAAATCACAGGCCTTTCGTTACAAACTAAAACAGCAGAAGTTCCGCCTCGGCGCGAGGAAGAACTTCTTTCCGCGGAGGGTGGGACGGGCCGCTCCAGGGAGCTCGGGGATTCTCCCTGGAGGCATTCCAGACCCACCTGTGTCACCTGCTCCAGGTGACCCTGCCTGGGCACGGGGTGTTGGACTGGGTGGTCTCTACGGGCACTGACAGAAAATGGAGCTGCACGGAGTTCGATTTCAGGACTTGTCCACCGGTCCTCTTCGGTGTTCCCCTATTATTCATGTTCTGTCGTAAACAGCACCTGGTGTTTTTCTTTAGTTAACCAGAATTCCCAGGATCGTCCTAAACCAGTGCCTCGATCCCACACATTCAGCTCACATCGTGTGGTGCCTGTGTTCAGCCACGAGAGAAAAACACACAGGTATCATGCAGACCGTTCAAAGTGGTTTTCCACTTTGAGAAACGCAACATTCTCTCTTTCAAAGCACTTAGCCAAGGTCGATCCTCCCTTTCGATTCCAGTTAGCTAAATGCAGGTGCAGAGTGGCTCTGCTTGCTCCCACAATCTCCAGAGGCCCCTTGCAGCCCTAACGATTCTGCCATTCCCTTTGTGTTATTCCACTTGCTGCCTCTCTCCAGTGCCGCTGGCGGAGATCTCGCTGATGAACAAGCTGATCCACACATCCCTGGTGGAGTCCGACCAGCACGTGGAGATCCTGCAACGGGACCCCAGTTCCCCACTCTTCTCCGTCAAGACCTTTGAGGAGCTGCCCCTGTGAGTAGCCACAGCCCCTGGCCTTGCTGAATGCCAGCACCACTGGCCACCCTCACACGGGCCCTTGGGATGCTTTGTTTCCACAGGAAGAGGGAGCTCTTGCAGGGGGTTTACATGATGGGCTTCAACAGACCATCCAAAATCCAGGAGCAGGCTCTGCCACTCATGCTGGCGTACCCGTGAGTAGGAACGAGAGCCCCGGCTCCACGCGGCATCCCGGCGCTCTGACCCCTGCGCTCCACTAAGCTGCCTTTGCCTTGCAGGCCCCAAAATCTGATTGCCCAGAGCCAGTCAGGGACAGGGAAAACAGCAGCTTTTATCTTGGCCATGCTGAGCAGAGCCAATGCCAACGAGAAATACCCGCAGGTAACGCAGGACAGGGAGAGCTGATGCAGGAGGGGTTGGCCCAAGTGCCCGGAACACTGCCGGGGCCAGAGCTCCAGGTTTTGTCCCTGTCCCTGTGTGGCTTCACCCACTGGAGGGGGATGACAAACCCCCAGGGGCTGTCACAGTGGCAGGTAGGACTGAAAGCACAGTGCCTGCCCCAGGGAGGCACTTTGACTTGCCAGGACGGATCAATCCAGGCTTCATTTGCCCTGGAATTTAAATTTTGA